CACAAGCAGGGGGAGTGGGAGAGGGAGAAGCAGGCTTCCCGCGGAGCAGGGAGCCCGATGCGGGACTCGATCCCAGGACCCCGGGATCATGACCTGAGCCGAAGGCAGACGCTTAACGACTGAGCCACCCAGGCGCCCCTAATTTTTATTTTAATTCCAATTAGTTAATATACTGTGTTATATTGGTTTCATGTACACAATATAGTGATTCAACACTTCCATACATCACCCTGTGCTCATCAGGACAAGTGCACCCCTTAATCCGACTTGGACAGGGATCTCAGGATGACAGGGGGCCCTCCCTCTGAGTCCACTTTCGCATGTGAGACTTGCTCTGAAGAACTTTCAGTTAGCTCAGATCTTAACTCTTGGCTTCCAAAATGATCTCTCCCCAGCCCTTGTTCTATCCTCTGGGGCCCCATGAGTCTTGCAAATAATTGATGATATACCTATGACATGAAAGGCACATGCTCTCTGCTCTGGAAAAGCTCACAGGCTCCTGAACTAGAAACTGTCTAGGACCGCAGGTGGACCAAAGCCATGGGAACTTAGGACTCCACATCCACTCAACTCTCTTCTCCATCCTGCCTGTTATCAGGGAATCCCCTTGCCCTCCAGCTTCCGGTTGAGTTCAGCCAAGAGAGAAAGTCAGCAGGAGATCCAGGGAAGGGACAGAAGTGAAGTCGGAGTATTTATTCCCCTAGCTCTTTCCCTGGGGGTTGCTTTGAACTGGCTCTGTTTCATGTCCCTGACCGAAGGTCACAGCGCCTGTTGGTGGCCCTTGTCTCAAATCTTTCCCCTGGTCTGCAAACTGCTTCCTCCCTTAGCCCTTCCATCCTAGGCAGAGTAAGTTACCCTGCTATGACCAGATCTGGGAAACTGCAATATCCTTTCTTGATGACCACACCCTGCCTGCATTTTTGGAAATTGTCCCTTTATTTTAAGCTCTTCTCAAGTTATTTTGACTCTGGTGTTTATTTCCTGTCTGATAAACTCTGCCTCTGACCTTCCAGAAGAAACTTAGTGTATAAAATTTCTGCTTTAGGCACTGTGGGAATCTCAAAGATTAAAAGATAAAAACCAAAAACCAGGTCTCTGTTCTCTCCAACAATGCTCTCTTAAAACTAAAAAAAAATATTCTTTTCACCGTTATTTTCGATCTATCACTGACTGATATTTTGGTAAAATACAGTTTAGAAGAAATTTCTAGAGAAAGAAAATAGAGGCATACAAATTACAGGCCCATTAAAAAATTATTAATCAATCATCACACGATTACTGAAACTGCTATACCAATTTTTAAATGTTTCCACTCAATTTCTTGAAATTATCTGGTCATAGAGCAAGTAGCTCTCCAACTGGCACCCATTTGCTGGCCACCCGTGAATGGCATGTTCTAGCAGCTTACAGGGTGACCGAATTGGGTTAATAGAATATGAAATGACTCCTGGCAAACCCTCACTCTTTCCCCTCCCCTTCCCTGCCTTTAGTAGAAAGCCTTAATCACCCTTATTCTGGGCTCCAACAAAGATTTGCTAAACCTCTTAGCACAGGGCCAATCACATAGTTTCATAATCGTTAAAACCTACCAAGGGGGCGCCTGGGTGGCTCAGTCGTTAGGCGTCTGCCTTCGGCTCAGGTCATGATCCTGGGGTCCTGGGATCGAGTCCCGCATCGGGCTCCCTGCTCAGCAGGAAGCCTGCCTCTCCCCCTCCCACTCCCCCTGCTTGTGTTCCTGCTCTAACTATTTCTCTCTCTGTCAAATAAATAAATAAAATCTTAAAAAAAAAAAAAAAACCTACCCAGGAACATTTCTCCCTAACCTTGTCAAAAAAACCCAATAAATCCCGAAGACACAACCAAGCCTTCATCCTTTATCTGCTGTACCCGGTAAAGATCCTGCCATTTATCAAGCACTCAGTGTTTGAGATTAACAAACACATAAATAGAATCAGCTCTGATACACTAGATGCTCTTGCAAAGACACAAGCACACCAGGCTCTCTGCTTCCAGAAATCTGTTCTCTCCTGAGAGTCAACAATGGGTCAGCTTGATTTACATGCACACACGTGCACACATGCACCCACACACATGTGGGAGGCAGTTTGGTTTCCCAGATTTCTGGTTTCAAGCCCTCCCTGCCTTTTTAAAGTTGGGGCCCTGGCAGGAACCAGACGGCACATTCAAATTTGAGGCGGGCAGTTAATAAACAGACTACTTACAGGGGTGTAGGCTGGGCGTAAGGAAGCCATGGGGGAGAAGGCACTATGCTGGGGAGTGACAGGCAGTTGCCATTACTATATCTGAGCCTGAAGGGGTAATAATTCCTGGGCCTGGAACAGAGTGTGCAAAAGGTCCCTGATGGGAACTGTAACTTTTTGTTGAGAAGTGCAGCCAGCCTACAGAGAGAGAATTGGGGGGACCAGATACTCCCACTCACTCTTTTCTCTCCCTCTCTCTCCAAACTCTCCTGTTGTGACTTCCCACTGGCCGAGGACAACCAGGCCAGAGGGCAGTGGCGGGCTCTCAGGGCAGATGGCAGGGTGGAAAGGTGAAGTGGATCTGGAGGTGGGGAACTGAGAGAATGTGGCACATGATGCTCCAAGACCCTTGTTTTTCCCCCACCTGCCCAAGTGCACAGAGCTCTCTCCCACAATGCTCCTCTCGCTCACTTGAACCGATCATCACTCTGATCTGAGTCACTGCAGCAGGTCAGAGACCAGGTGCCCACAGCAACCTCTTGAGGGGAAGAGGACCCAAGGGGAAAGCAGCAGTTGAATCTGGAACTGCAACTGCCCACAAACACAATCGGAAATATAAGCCCCAAGTTCTCCCCAAAATCCTGCTTCCAGATTCCTAGCTCTTTTTCTCAGAATTTCTAGAGGATTCAGGACTGACGAGAGAGACTAACCTGAACTCTTCTGGATGTACCTAGCAATCATGTGTAATTATCTGGGGAAAAGGATAAAGACCATTTCCTCCATGTGTGTGAGAGTAAATGTCATGTGATGATGACAAGGTGTGTATCTGTGATCTGTGAGTATCTGAGCCAAAGGACTCTATGAGATCTAACTTCAGCCCTAAGGGCCGTGGCAGGACTGCAGGCAGGGATGTCTCTAGTCCATGCCAATTTGCCTTTGGACTGATTAGAAAAATGCATCCCTTCCTCGAGATGCTTTTCTCCCACCTGTTGGAGAATTATTATAATATACTGCTTCTGTTAGAACAAAGGAACAAAACACTTTTACAGCTACTTACTGAAAAACTGTGTGTGTATTCTATGTGAATGGCACAGTTTCAGTGTGGTCTCCTTGTACAGAACCCAACTTACACAAATGTGCACAGCAGTCATACCCTCAGAAAGCCTGTCCAAAAACCTAAAACTAGGGGTGCCTGGGTGGCTCAGTCAGTTGAGCATCCAACTCTTGGTTTCAGCTCAGATTATGATCTCATGGGTCATGGGATCGAGCCCCATGTCAGGCTCCTCACTGACTGGGGAGTCTGCTTGAAGATTCTCTCCTTCTGCCGCTTCCCCCCCACATAAATAAATCTTAAAAAAAAAAAATCTAAGGGGCATCTGGGTGGCGCAGTCAAACATCCAACTCTTGGTTTCAGCTCAGGTCATGATCTCAGGGTCCTGGGATCAAGCCCCACATGGGGCTCCACACTCAGCAGGGAGTCCACTTGGGACTCTCTCTCTCCCTCTGCCCCTCCCCACCCCCACATGCTCTCTCAAATAACTAAATCTTTAAAAAACAAACAAACAAAACCTAAGACTAGTGAGATGTGGCTGGGTGAACATGACAAAGCCTATCATTGGCTAGTCCAAGTGACTACGAAGTACAGGACTATAGCAGGGCTTTTCTAATGACCTTCCCAAATCCCCTGCCCATGGGGATCATTCTTCTTCTGTCAGACCACAGGATCTTGTACCGACATCCACTATAACTTTTCACATTGTACGGCAATTTTTCTGGTTGCTTTTTGCTTTTGCTCCTGTAATGTGTGCTCTTGATGAATGGAAATTATACTATTCATGTACATGTGGAAAGTTTAGCATGCAATAGGTGCCAAATGAATGAAGTCTGGGCCTTTGCCAGACTTAATTCTCTGACTGAAAACGTCAGATCATGAGATCAAAAGTGCAAGGAAAACTGCCCATGCATGGCCCACACATTCAGTGCTGACTCTGAGATAAGGCAGCAGAGCCTAGCTGTTAAAAAAGGGCAGGGTGGGGGGGAGGGATGCCTGGGTGGCTCAGTCGGTTGATAGCGTCTGCCTTCAGCTCAGGTCATGATCGCCGGGTCCTGGGATCGAGCCCTGCATTGGGCTCCCCGCTCAGCAGGGAGTCTGCTTCTCCCCTCTGCCCCTCCCCCCTCTTGTGTGCTTTCGCGCTCTCTCTCTCTCTCTCATTCTTTTTCACTCTCTATCTTAAATAAATAAATAAAATCTTTTGAAAAGTAGACTGAAACCAAACCTGCCTGGGCCTGAGGCCTGGCTTCATCATCTGTGTGCCCTTGGGCAAACTATCTCCTGGTCCCTCAGTTCCTTCCTGTATACAAGAC